AGCTGTGGGCACGCCGTCTGTGTGCGGGGGGCCTTGTAGTTAAAGTCGTCTCCTCTGTGATCCTGGCTGACACCATTGGCATGGTGCTGTGGGCCAGAGTCTGTGCCCCAAGCACCGCCGGCCACACGCTGCTGGGCACTGAGCAGAGTGTGACAGACTGCATCCTCCTTCCTGCTAGTCCACACACACATGTGTGCACACACACATGTGCATGCACACACATGGATATGTACACATGAACACACACATACATTCATTCTTTCCCACTTGGGGAAAGAACTCGCAGGGATCAACACAGAGCCACCTGCCAGCAGCCCCCAACCTCAGGCTGAGTGTATATATCAGAGTCGATATACTCTATGTATGGACTCAATCCTCTCTATACTGCATATATTGCATATACAGTATCTCTCTCTCTCTCTCTCTCTCTCTCTCTCTCTCTATCTATCTATCTATATCAAAGTGAGTATGCCCATTCTCGGAGGTCAGATGAAAGTTGAGACCAGATGACCTGAAAGGCAAAATTAGGTGAAACATCAAGGTCCCTGTCACCATACCTGAGAGCAGATGTGACTCCCAGGGGGACTTTCCCTTCCTTCTCTGGTGTGTGTTCAAAACCATCTTGGGCTGGGCCCTGGTGCCTCATGCCTGCAATCGTAGCTACTCAAGAGGCTGAGATCTGAGGACTGTGGTTCAAAGCCAGCCCAGGTAGGAAAAATCCATGAGACTCTTATCTCTAATTAATCCCCAGAGAGCCAGAAGTAGAGCTATGGCCCCAGGAGGTACAACACTAGCCTTGAGCAAAGAAGCTCAGAGACAGTGCCCAGGTTCTAAATTCAAGGCCCAAGACCAGTGGGAGGAAGAAATGACTTGGCTACAGATAGACTCACTGTTGAAGACTTGGGAAATCTTAGCATGTTCCTGCTAAGCACCAGGTCTACTTTTGGCTTTCCCTGTAGCCACAGCTGGATGGGATGGGTTTCTATATCTAGCTTCCCTCGTCCGTGTTGGCCCTGCAGCTTGCGCTCAGTAATAGAGCCCCTGTGTGCTGTGGATTCTGCACACCCTGGGCCGTAGATCAACCTGTTCCCTCCTGTGCCTGGATCTCCCTCATTAGGCCTGAATTTACCTCCATCCTACACAAACATGGCCTTAGCTCATTTTTATTGTTGTAAATTATTTATAAGGGGAATGTTGAATCTTGAAACTGAGGTGCGCAGAAAATTAATCCCAGGTTACTTTTATCTTTCTGTACTTTTCTCTCCCTTGTTTGACTTATTGAGCTATGGCCAGAGAAAGAAGAGCTTTGGCATTTTAAAATATAATTAGTGTTGAAACTGCTTTCTTGATTAGGTTGGATGTTGGTTTCCATATGCAGTACAAGGGAAAGTAGGCCTGACTGAGGAGGTGGGTGCTGCTGTGGGTAGGGGGGGGTGTCTGAGAATTTGGGGAGGTACTTCCTCCCCTGTAAAGCTTGGCTAGCAAGGCCAGGCTACCTCTCAGATGAGGAGGAGTCAGGAGAAAATTTACTTATTTATTTAATTTCATGCTGCTATTAGGGCTTGAACTCAGGGTCTGGGGACTATCCCTTAGCTTTTTTTTGCTCTATTACTTGAATCACAGCTCTACTTCTGGCTTTGGGGTGGTGAATTTGGAGATAAGAGTCTCACGAACTTTCCTTCCCCAGGCTGGCTTTGAACAATGATCCTCCGCTCTCAGCCTCCTGAGTAGCTAGGATTACTGGCATGATCCACCAGCACCCAACTTATGAGAAATGTTTTGAGATTTGCAAAGCATAGCACAAATGCAATGGAAATATTGTCATGTTTTGTGCAGTTAGGACTCCGAGATTCAGGTGGAGCCCAGAAAAGGAGCTGCTGAAATGAAATCAGAGTTCTGTAAGTTGGTCTCATAATTTTGTGTTTTATCCAGTATCACCTCCTGTTATGCAGGTTAACATTATTCTTTCAGTATTAGGCTTCCTTGTCCTTTCTCCCTCCCCACTTAGATTTGTCCCACAGGCTCACACTCATGGTCTCTTCTTCCCCATTTGCCTGCAACCCTGGGCTCTGCAATGCCTTCCCTCTGGCTTGAGGCTCCAAACAGCCTGGGAAACGTGGAGTGCCAGTTAATAAATGGCCTTTTGTTAGGAAGGTCAATTGAAGTGACGGTAGAGACGCTGTTAAAAGTAATTTGCAGTCAGAAAATATGTAATTCAGGGCAAGCCGCTTTGAGCGATGGCCTCTGCCATGGATATCTTGGGTGTTTCTCATTAAAAGCCTCCTTGGCTGGTGGCGGGGGCTTCCTCCACTGCCGAGTGGGCTGCAGCCATTTGTCTCTTTTTCACAAAGGCTGCCTTGATCCCCAGGGCACAGCAGGCAGGGAAGGAGAGGGGCGGGGGGAGATGCACTGGGCTGCGCTGCTGTGCTGGCCTGCACAAGCTGGGCAGGCCGGGCTCTGGCTCCCCAGCACCAACAGCCTGGGCTCTTTGTCTACCTCAGCCTGCAGCCATCTTGGAAGCTGCTGCCTGGCGCCTCCCCAGGTGCATGCTGGGAGCAGCATCCTTGCCTTTCCTGCAATTGGTAGTGCCCGGTGGAGCAAGAGAGCCCTGCCATGACATCACTGCAACTCGAGGACTCCACGCTATCTGCAAAAAAGATATTTCTTATGTATGCTTATCTTTCCATCCTTCTGTTCTTTTTTACTTTCCTTAATCCTCCCTCCCTGATTCTTTCACATACTCTCTCTCTCTCTCTCTTTCTCTGTGTAGTAAAGGCAGTATAGTATCTTCTAAAAAAATCAACAACTTATCTCACATGTTCTTTATTAAAATCACAGTGTGATATTTCACACTGGCAGGATTTGCACATTTGTTAATGAGCTGTTCATGGCAAAGCATTTTTGGTGGCCAACAGCAGAAAGTACCCATATTTTGCAAGCCACAGCAATGTTATTTTCCATGTTATCCCTAATAATCCAGGATATTTCAGGTGCAGAGACGTTTTGTTAAGAGCTTGCTTTGGACCAGGCAGGTGCAGATATTTAACTCTAACTATATACGGGGGCCATGCATGCATCGTCACTCAATAAATATTTCTTTAATGCCTACTGAGTGTGGGCAGCACAGAGCCCTGTGCTTTGCTTTATACAGATAAACCTGGCTGCAAGATGAGATCTGAAAATAGCAAATTTCTGCAGCCATGCCGTGTGCTCCCTACCCCCTGCCCTGGCCCTTCTGTAAGCTTATTTTCGGTAGAAGTAAGTAAAGCATAACTTACATTTGCTTTTATCACACACACAAGCTGAGAGGGCAGCTGTGCCAGGCGCTTCCTAGCCTTGATCAGGGACTTGGCTCCGTCTCCATCGCAGTGACAAGTCTGTTTCCGGAGCCCGTGTGGGTTCCGCTGGCTACACAGACCACTTGCATGCAGCCTTTTGATGGCTTCTCTTCAGGAGACTGCACTCATTGTCAGTGGCCTCTCCTTGTTCTGATTCCAGGCTTAGGAGTACCAGTGATTCTACTGGCTGCCTAGGGAGGCAGAGTGTTTGCTTTGTGTGGAAGCAGGGGCCTTCCTGGAGAGGTCTGGCAGGCCTACAGCTGGTGGAGTGTCACTGCTCCAGAGGATGGAATTTAACTTGTTCTTTCCCATGGCTGGACCTGTTAAAAGCACTGTTTCATTTATGGAAGGTGCTCTTGCCTCTTTCATTTGTTTTCTGTTCTCAGCTACTCGGGCTACACAGGCTTAGAGCTCTCCACATTATACTCATCTTCTCTGGTCCCATTTAGAGCCAGCTAGCAGCAGAGTAAGCAGAGTAACAGTTTCCTTTTACCTCCCATTCACCCAACGTGTTCAGCAAGAATTAATGTCTAACTTTGAGTAAATGCCCACATGATCTGACAGTGAAACTTATCAAAAGGATCTGCTGGTCCTTTAGAGATGGCTCCTTTCTGTTTCTTGCCAGTTACCCTGGGACTGTGTGCCCCACGCCTGCCAGTCTCATCTGCTTTTTGTTGAGGGCCACTGGGTGTCCCTTATTAATGTTTTGTGTTAACTTTTTGCACATGCTCTGAGAGTATATTGTGACCCTGTGTTAGTGTTGAGAAAATCGAGGCCCCAAGAGATTAAATCTCCTGGTCAGATTCATACTTGGTAGGTCATAGAGCCTAGACTCAAACACCATTCCTTTGCTCAGGGCCCATAATACCTTCTCTGTGATTGCAGATCTCCTTGTCTGCAGAGATTTGCGTGCTGAGAGTTGACTTTTGTGGTGGCAGAGGCTGTGGGTTTAGAAGCCTTTGCCCCCATTGAGAGGGAGGAAGAAAAAGAGAGGGAGAGAGGGAGAAAGAGAGAGAACACAACAAAAGCTGATGTTAGCCATGTACAGGTTAGCCTCAGTGGAGCATGGTTATATGTTCAGAAATCAGGCAGGCTGGTACCAGTGACTCATACCTGTAATCCTACCTACTGAGGAGGCTGATATCTGAGGATTGTGGCTGGAAGTCAGCCCAGGCAGGAGACTTTTATCTCCAATTAACCATCAAAAAGCCAGAAAGTGGAGCTGTGGCTAAAGTAGTAGAACATTAATCTTGAGCAGAAAAGCTAAGGGACAATGCTCAGGTTCTGAGTTCAAACCCCAATGCTAGCATACACACACTCATATACAGAAGGACAGAAGGAAGGAAGGGAGGGAGGAAGGAAGGAAGAAAGGAAGGAAGGAGGGAAAGAAGAAAGGAGGGAAGGAGGGAGGGAGAAATCAGGCAGCCTGCTGAAAGAGTTAAGAATGACGTGATTTGAGGTTTGAGTGAATGACCTTCGAAGCAGGCACATGGAATTTGGATTCCTGATCTGGGGAAAGGTTCAGAGGAGGCCAGAGATCCTTCAGCTAGCTCAGGCATGTGTTGGCTTAGCTCTGGATGGTTGCCCAAGATTCTTGCTCTCTCCGTTTGAGACACTAAGTTTGAATTGTGTGCTTTCTTTCTTCCCCTTTTGCCGACCCAGAACCAGTCCACCATGCCTGAAGTGAAAGACCTTTCGGAAGCCTTGCCGGAGACATCAATGGACCCTATCACGGGCGTCGGGGTGGTGGCGTCTCGGAACCGAGCCCCGACAGGCTATGATGTAGTAAGTCAAGATACTAGTCGTGCATTTTGTTCTGTGTCCAGGAACCTCTGACTGTTTGTCAAATGTGTTCCTTCCTTCTCCAAGCTGAAACTAGGTATGGGAAGCTGGGGCCCAGTTTGGGGCAGAGGATCTGAGGCCAGCAGCAGCCATTCCTGGCTTTCCCTGTGCCTATCATTTGACCTCTGTGATGGTTGTTTTCCCCTTCTGTAAAATCAAAGTGATAGCTTTGTTGATTTCCCAGATATCTTCATGACATCCTATTGGTCGTGGTGGTGTGTGGTGGTATATGTGAAATGCAATTGCTCACCAGCTTTCCCACCCAGGAACTCACTTAGCTCTCACCAGGCCTGGGAAGACTGGGAGGGCACTGGCTTTATCGCTACTCTGAAGATTAGAACTTGAGTTCTCAGAGGTGAGGTGACAGGGTCCCGGTCTTCAGTGACCAGTTGGAGGCGGATGTCCTCCCCAGCTGGCTGCTTCGAGGGGTCACAGCACCCCAGTGTAGTGATCTTCCCTGCAGCAGACTTCCATGCTGCATCCAGTAGCCCTGTGGGTAGGGACTTTTGTTGTTGTTTCAGTAGGTAATTTACAATTTGGGCAGAGCTAAACACTTGCAGAGTGACATGAGAAACTTCACAGGAGAGTATAGTTGTGTGTTTCAGATTCTCAGGTGATCTTATAGGTACTTTCTCATTTTGTTTATGATCACATCTTATTGTTGTTCAGTGAAAATGTTTACCAAGAATATGTAAGAATGGGGGCTGGGAAGGTGGCTCAGTGGTAGAGCGCTTGCCTTGCATTCTCGAGGCCCTGGGTTCGATTCCTCAGCACCACATAAGCAAAAAGCAAAAAGCCGGAAGTGGCGCTGTGGCTCAAGTGGAGAGCGCTAGCCTTGAGCTGAAGAGCTGAGGGACAGCGCCCAGGCCCAGAGTTCAGGCCCCACGACCAGACCCCCCCCCCCCCAAAAAAAAGAATATGTAAGAATGGAAGCATGCAGGTCTCATTAGCCAGCACTGGAAGCTGGCACAACTTCCCTGGGGAATGTAGAGGGGCTGGATGCCTGGGCCTAGGCAGAAATTCCCCTTCCCCACACCATTGATAGCTGGGGCCAGATAATCAGATGATTCTTTGCTGTTGAGCTAATCTGTGCATCATGAGATATTCAGCAGTATATTGTGTGTGTGTGTGTGTGTGCACACGCGCGCGCATGTGTGCATGCAGTGCAAGTGTGTGTGTGTGTGTGTGTGTGTGTGAGAGAGAGAGAGAGAGAGAGAGAGAGAGAGAGATTACTGTGGATAGAGCTCCAGGGCCTAAATGTTATCTCTCAGCTTTTCTGCTTAAGGCTGACATTCTACTGCTTGAACCATGCTTCCATTTCCAACATTTTGTGGTTAATCGGAGATAAAGAGTCTCATGGACTTTCCTGCCTGGGCTGGCTTTGAACCACAGCTCTCAGCTTCCTGATTAGCTAGGATGATAGGTATGAGCCACAATCACCTGGCTTGACCACAATCTTGACCTCTACTCAGTGGATGCCAGTGGCAGCTGTCCTGTCCCCTGGAGGTGACAGCCAACAGCATCTCTAGACATCCCCAGGAGGAGGGGTGAGTGGGCAAAATCAGGCCCCATTGAGAAGCACAGTGGTTAGGGCAGCTCTCTCCTGAGTCTGTCCGCGCTGACTCCTGTGTGTCACTTTCCAAAGTGTTTAAAAGCTGAAAACATTTGAAAACTGAAAGAACACGGAATCTTTTTTTTTTTGGACAAAGAGTTGGATCTTACCTGCTGCCTATCTTCAAAGCCCCATTGGAATGTATAACTTTCCATAAAACAGAATCATTAGTTATGGCTTTGTGCCATGAAACTCTTGGGGAAGCTAATAAAAACGTTCCTGACTTGAGAAGCCAAAGTGTCTTTTGATGAATTAGGTCTGAGGCAGCACATCGTCGTGAATCAAGGCAGGGCTGGGATCTCAGAGTCTGGGAAGATGGAGTCCTGGGTCCTTCTTCTGGGAGGGTCGGAAGGGAGTTCGAGCTCTGCCCCTGGGTCTCGAGTCCTGCCATTCTCCTGTCCATCAGTATCTGCGACATTCAGTTTGTACCTCTGGGGTCATCGTGAGCGCTTGGCTAGTGGGTAGTAAATGGCCTTTGATAGTTTGGTTTTCTGAAAGTCTTAGCAAGCCTGACAGGGGCACAATCCATCCCTATCATTTTCTCCTAACATCTAGCTCAGGGCAGAAGAGCGCAGTGTCAAATGAGTAAAATTAATAAGCACATTTCATGATCATGCTGTACCATGCATTTTAGTGGAAGGTGAGCAGGGCCAGGGCTGGAGCTAGTTTGCCTGGTAATTACCCAGGCTTCAGGGAGAACGATGGGAGCTCTCTCTTTGTTCTGGCCCTGTGTCTCTTCTCAGATAAACATCTCATTCCCCAGAGGTCTGGCCCCAAGTACAGTGACCCCTCAGGCCTGAGTGTCAGGCACCAGCTGGGTTGCTGGCCCCACATTGCACAACTGTTTTAAAATAGGTTTAGACATTGCTGGCTGCTCAAAGAGCAAAGATACCAAAGGTTCATTTACAAACACTGAATTTACTTAACTTCCTTTCTCTCCAGCCAAGGGAAGCTTCTTAGGCCAGGGGTGGGGGCTGGAGGGATTATTCAGTAAGCTCAATTTATTGTCCCTGTCTGTGGTCTTAACTTAAATCAGCCTCCTCTTTCTCTTCTGAAGCCCCATGCTCAGATCTCAGCATGGCCAGGACGCCTATTCCTGCTGGCAGAGGTCAGGCAGGGCTTGCAGTCTTTATGATCCCACAGTGTCTGACAGAATGGTTCTGTGTGGCAAGAGCCTGGCATTTGCCAAAGGAAGCACAGGCGTTGCATCACTGGTACGTGGTCGGTTTTTCAAGAATTGTAACATCCCAAGGATGGCCTTGAGCTACAAATCCTCTGCCCAGAATTTAGCTTTGATCTCCAGGTCACTCAGGGGGGCTGCCTTGCTAGGGGGGGCATCAAACTGGACATCCAGAAGGCCAAGGGTCACTGTGGGTATGTTTCAGTGGCCTGGGTCTTACCCTTTGCACACATCCATTCACCTTTTCTGTGTGTGCATAGCTGCAGTAATGGGAGGTAACTCTGGGCCATCACCACACCTTTGAGTCCACCCACTTTTCTAGATTTCCAAGAGGCTTTCATTCTCTCTCTCTCTCTCTCAATCTCTCCCCCCCCCTCTCAAATTTACTCATCCTTTCAAACCCAGTTTTTCTTAGTGGGAGTTTTCCTGAACAGTGCTTATTTATTTATTTACTTATGCATCATTACCTGTTGGTTTCGGGGATTTTTATTGACCTTCAATTTTTATGCTCAAGGTTCCAGATCCTGGAATGTTGGCTTCCTTAGTGAAAGGTCCAAGGAGGGATGGATGAGGCCCAATCTCAATCCAGCTTTGAGACTATTAAGTGGAGCATGGGGGAGTAAGTAAAGGATTCTGAGGAAAAGGTTCTTAATTTGTTTTTCAGGTATTTACATACTGTTTAGCAAGGAAATAACTGGACGGTTAGGACGCTGAGTTGCTGGCCCCACAATGGGCCATTAACTGAAAAAGGGGAAGGAACACGAACATACATTCTTTGGCAGTAAGCAAATTGAGTGCTGGGAGCTGGGTGAGAGGAGAGGAAAGCAAGGATCAGGGTGACACAGAGTTTACCTGGCCAGGCAGCTGAGTAGATACTGATGCTCTCCCAGGTACCTAGGTAGGTGAGGACAAGAAGAAAAGATAGGGTCCATTTGGGACATGTTGAGATTGAAGTGCACACATGACATCCAGAGCCTGAGGTCTGAGGGGCTGGAGAGAAGGTTGGAGCTCATTATCAGATGGCGGGGACTGGATACAACCCCACCCACCCACCCTGAGAGAAGGCACAGAACTCAGGCAGAGCCTGTGCCCACTGTGGATGGGCAGAGAAAACCCCCATGCAGGATTGGAGGAAGAGGAAGGAGGTGGCAACTGTGAGAAAATCCAGTCTTTTCTATCAAAGTGTGTTGTTTAAAAGTTCTTGCTCTGGCCTGGTGACTTGGCTCTGGTTAAGGAAAAGAGGAACTGCTTTGGGATAAGGAAGCATTTTTGAAATGTAAGGTTTTTCTTTTCAAGACTGAATTCAGACATGCCCCAGATTATTCAAGAAATAGCAGAAATAGTAGAGGGTGTGGGCATATTTTGAGATCACCTGTATGCTATTAATCTTACTTCAAGGTTACCTTCTGTAAATACATTTTTACCTTATTCCAACTAGTCAATCACACAAGCAGATTGTGAACATGAACTCAACCAATCTGAGCAGAGGGGCAGGACCTGCTGTGTTAGGGATAAATAGAGGAGCACCTGCCTGTGTGCTGGCTTGCCAGACTTTTGGCTGATGGCGCAGTCTTCTGCAGAAGTAAATTTTGCCTCACTGAGACAATTCTTTGTTTTCATGTCATTATGATTCCAATGGTTCTTGGAGGGCATATTTATAACACAATAAGAGGTTGAGCACCGATGCCTTTGTGTTTGTACTGGCACTTGAACTCAGAGCCGAGAGCTCTTGCCTGTCCTTTTCACTCAAGGCTGCTGCTGTGCTGTGTGAACCCCAGTTCCACTTCAAACGTGAGTGCCTTTGAGCAAGGGAGACAAGGGAAAGTGGCGGCTAGACATCACGTGACCTTTAGAGTCTTTTCCTCTTTGCTCTTTAAGCAAGTGTTGAGCATGTTTTGCTTATGGGAAGGAACCCACAGTGAGGGGAGGTGGACACACAGGGGAGATGGAGCCGGGCCAGGTGGGACAGGGGAATAGGGAAGCAGAGTCATGTCAGACAAAACCTAGAAGGTTACATTTAGCTTTTGGAAGCCAACTGTGGTCATGCCCTCTGTCATATTGCCTCCCTGGGCAGCATGGATTTGTTGTCCTGAAAGCCAGCTCTTCCCCTCCCTCTTTTCTTCTTTCTTTCTTTTCCTACTCTCTCTCTAT